CCTAGAGGGCTGAGCCCCGAATCGGGTCTTCGCATGGCTTTTATTGAGAAAGTTTCAAAGGAAGTGAAACTGGATTATTCAAAGATCTGTGTGTCACGTGTCTTAAGGCTGTTTTCCATTAACCAGTTCCCACTGTACTCCAACATGTATTATATTATGCCTTCATACAGCCTGCACAACCCCCAGGACAGCGCCATTCTGCCATGTCCTATACAAATAAAGGGAGATGACCGATATCATTCCACCGGGTCTCAGCATTCCGAGACACTCCCTAGAGGAAGCTTTACCGATATCATTCCACAGGTCTCAGCATTCCGAGACACTTCCTCAGGACCTTGTTAGGTCAGGGGTTAGTGCGGGGCAGGGGTGGTCGTGGAGATAGCTGTAAGGCAACAGTGCTCCACCTTTTCAAAGAATAGCAATATCAGAAGGCCTGTTGTTGCTTTTAGGTTTAAGAAAGCCTCTCCATGAATGAGATAAACCCTTGAAGCTACTTTTTTCCAACAGCGTGAGTTATCCTGTGCTTCCTATAGTGCTGGGGAGAAAAAGGCCCCTACTAAGTGGAAAGGAGAAAGGGAGCAACATTGTAGGGGATTGACAACAAATACATTTTATGAGCAATATCATTGTTTTACTTTAGTCTTTTAAAATATCTTTCTGTACTGATCCAACTCAGTGCCTAACGGGTCTGTGGCCGGCACAGGGGTCCCAGCACATTTCCCAGCGAGACCAGCTTTGGGGCACTCTTGAGGGCTCTGTATTTCAGGGGACGAGAATCTGGGGAAGGGGAAGACTAGCATATAGCTGATTTGAGTCTGAATTTGAGCTTTTAATTTTGCTGAATATATTCAACTACCAAGGCAATTTATTGAAAAAAGTAGATTAATTTTTGGAAAGAGAATGTCATATTTCTGATCTATGTCTTTTTTCATAAAGAAGGGGCTTATGTTTTGTTTCCATATATATTCTAGCCTTTATGATATTTCTATGTTCTCCCTGCTTGCTTTTCATTTGCAATTGCCTCCTATATCTTATCTCTGTCTTCCCTTTTATTTAGCTTCTTGGTGTGTGTTTTAGATATATCTCTTAATATGTGCCATATAACTGGATTTTAAACCAATTTTAGAGTTTTTGTCTTTTAATAAAGTCAGGTCTTTTTCTGGTTATTTAATGATTTATGGTTATTATGCTTTCTTGTTTCCTTTTTGTAACACAATGAAAAGTTTAGGCTGTAGTAAAGAATAAAAAGCATTTATTTAGCAAAGGAGGGATTGCAGTCCATGGATTCAGGGAGCAACCTAAATAGTGCTGCAAAGGGAACCAGGAAAGGCAGAATTTATAAAGGGCAAAAGCAGAGGAGCTATTCTTGTTAAGGTCCTCCATGTAGGTGAAGGATATTGGCTGGGTCAGTTGGGATTGGTCAGGCCCATTATGTAAGTGAAGGTGCTGGCTGTGGAAATGGATTGTTTCCTTTCAAGGGGAAGAATGCAGGTGGTCTGAGCACCACGTATGTCCATATAGCAATCATGGACTCAGGATGTTTGTTGTTTGGCCTTGAGCTGAGTGTAGCAGCAGGTCAGCAACTTAACAATAGCCCTAAGAACTGAGACATGAGCCATGCACAGGCCCCGCCTCCTTAGTCGCCTCTGACTCCATGTTAAGTGACTCTCTTAGCAGTGCTTATTCTGTTGTATTTTCTCCATATCACTTTCTTTTCCTTTCTTTACATTTGTTGAACTGATTATTTTTCTTGGTTCCTTTTTGTCTTTCATAAAATAGGAATTCTGCCATGTATTTTTATCATACGAAGTAGTGACCTTTACTTTTTTTTTTTTTAAGGAGTTTTATTGGGGAATTGGAGGATGAGAACAGCGCTGGGGAATTGGGGGAAGGGGAACAGACAAGTTGCTCTCCTTTTGGTCTTCAGTCTAGTTGTGGAGGACGTTGCTTCACTGGCCCAAGTTGGCACCATCATTTCACTCTTCCCAGGCGAGACAGATCAGTCTGGCTTCTGGACAGCCACTCACAGTGGCTGCTGGCTACACACGGTAGCCCATGGCAACCCAGTACAGCAGGGGCTGCAGCCCACACTGTCGCTGGCTACTCAGGGCAAGCCCAGCTCCAGGTTGAGCTGTTGTTCAGCATCTTAGCTGTAGAGGGCAGTGTCACTGGCCCTCATATGTGGGATCCGAACTGGGGCCCTCTGGCGTCCCAAGCCAGCTCTTAACCATCGCGCCACTCGGCCGGCCCCAATGACCTTTACTTTTCTTGATAACATTTGTCAGTGATTTTTAAACATTTTTTTGTTATTTTGATACATTGTTTAAATAAATAGTAGGAAAAAATAAAGAGGTGGAAAGGAAGAAAATGAATTTTGTGCCTCAGTGTTGACACTTTTTCTAGAGTTTATAGCCAGTAGGATGTAAAATACACAAATTTCTTGGAATTGGTTTCATTCCATCTCTGGTCTCTTTAGACCTTTTCCCCACCTAATTTCTTCCCTTTGCCTGTTTAACTATTACAGTGTTTTCTGTCCTTAAATGAAAACCTTTTCCATTACTTTATTTCCATTATCTATTTCTTCTTTCATTAAAGTCTTATTTCTCATCTTTTTCACAGAAAGTTTGAAGCCACTTCACCCGGCGGCTTCTGATTCTTCATGTTCCATTGTCTCTTTTATCCATTGCAAGCTTATGTCTGCCTTCATCACTCTGCTGAAATCAGCGAATTTTCTAGTCAGCAGCTCTCTTTTCGATCCTTGTTTTGTTTGAGCAGCTCCAGCTTTTGAGAGCATTCACCACTCCTGCCTCCTTGAAACTCTGTCCCCGAGTGTCAGCCCTGAACATCCGTCCAGGTCCTTTGTGTCGCTCTCAACTGTCGCTTCCCTAGTGCTAGTATTTTCTTTTCTTGGCCTGTTTCTCTTCTCACAGTACTGGGAGTTGGGTGGTTCAAGGCCCAGCTGTGTGATCTTGGAGAGGTTATTTAATCTTTTTGATCCCCAGATTCCTCATCTATAAAATGAAGACTTTAGTGCTCTCAGTCCAGCAGGTTGTTATATGGATTAAATGTGGGGAGGTGTATGGATCTCCTATTAGGGCAAAACTCAGTACAAATGAGAGTTGTGACATACGGTGGCCACCACTCAGTTAGTGCTCCCTCCTTTATTAGTCAGGGCTCTCTAGAAGAACAGAACCAGTAGGATATATGTGGATATACAGAAAGCGATTATGAGGAATTAGCTCATGAGATTCTGGAGACTTAAGAGTCCCCACGCTCTGCCCTCTGCAGACCCAGGAAAGCCAGGGCTGTAGTTCCACTCCAAACCCAGAGGCCTGAGATCCGGGGTCCGATGGTGTAAGTCCTGGTCTGAGTCTGAAGGCTCAAGAATTAGGGGCACTAATGTCTGAGGGCAGGAGGAGATGGACCTCTCAGCTTAAGCAGAGAACAGGTGCCCCCTTCCCCTGCCTTTCTGTTCTCTTTCGGCCCAACACATTGGATGATGCTCACCCTTGTTGGTGAGGCTGACTGTACTCAGCCCACCCATTCACGCGGCAGCTGCCTCACAGAAACACCCACAGATAATGCCTTCTCAGATATCTGGGCACACCTTAGCCCAGTCAGATGAACATAAAACTAACCAGCACACTTGCTAAACAGATGTTAAATGCTTACGATGTTTTATTTCCTACTTTAAGGGCTAGAGAAAAAAGCTGAAATAGGCTTTGAAATTTGAAATGCCATTCAAGTCAAGCTGGGTATTTCATTGGTTCTCATAGACCAACCACATTCTAGATGTGTCCTGTTTGCACATCCTTTCCCCCAGGAACTGGATTCCCACCTGTATTGTAAGGCCTGCAATTCCATGTGCTGCCCTGACACCTTTGAGCCTCACAGGGCCCCAAAGACATAGCCATGAGTTCCTCTGCTCTCGCCAGTATGCCCCCATCCAGAGGGAAAGGCCCCTACCCAGCTAGTTCCCCTGTCAACCCCACCAGGTGCACCCCTCCCAGTCCTCAGCCTGATGGGTTTCACCTCTCTGCCTGCCCACGAAATTGTTCAACAAGGCAGTCATGTCTTCCCGTGTAACCATCTTAGCATAGAATTAACCCCTGGTCGTTCGCAGAATATAGAAGCATTTACGAGACTCTACAAGAGAAAGAAAAGATTTATTGAAAGTCAAAGAGAGACAGCTCTGGCAAAGGGAAGTTTTGCCAGGACAGCTTGATAGGGACAGCTGCCCCAATGAGGAGGAATGCTGGGGTTTTATGTTTTTCCATGCAGGATGTAGGGTGCTTGTCAGTTTGCAGGGGGGCTGTTGTTACAATTGTCTTCCCCTGGGAACCATTCTGTTCTCACCTATGATGAATGTAAGGTGCTTGTCAGCTTGTAGGTACAGTGCTGGCCAGGGGGGTCCGATCCAAGTGGTTAATGTTTAAGCTCATTCCTGACAGCTTACAAGCTTGCTCCTGTTAACTCTACTTGTCTCATCAGAAACCAAGGGTCACCTCACCCTCTCGTCATTTGCAAAGCCTGCCTCCCACAGCCCCTGCTAGTGCAGAGTTCCCGAGTGTAACTGCATGGCGTGTAGCGTGCTCCTCCCCCAGGCTGTAAGGATATGTGACTAATAAACTGCTGTCAGTCTCGTCTGCCCTGTGCTGGGGATCGGGTGTGGTTCAGGGCAGGGCTCCCTCCACCAGTGGGTGGATGGGAGGCCGGCAGGATACCACCGCTCTTCTCCAGTGGTAATGCAGGGCAGCTTTCACTGCTGTCCCGATTCCTCCCTTAGCCCTTTGCTCCCTGTCCTTATATGCACAGCACCTTCTGTATCACTCATCTCAGTATTTCATGTCTATTTTTGTTGCAGATGTTTAGTTTCTTTTGGAGGATGACACATTTTGATCACACAGATCTCTTTACTCTGTCCCTTCTAATGCTACTTGTTTCTCACTTTCCTCAGAGGGTTTTATTGGCATAATCATTTGTTGAGCAGTGATTTATAGTTTCAGGAGTCAGTGACATTCAAGGATGTGTCTGGATTTCACTTGGGAAGAGAGGATTCATCTACATTTCGCTCCAAGGAAGTTGTATGGGAAAGTGATGCTGGAGAACTACAGGTCTTGGTTTTGCTGGGTAAGGACTTCTTGTAACTCATCTTTCCCTACCTATGCACATCTGTACTGCCTCTGAAGTTATGAACTTGGACTTGAAATCCTGATATTATAGGGCATTGGTTTTGGGTAGTTGGTTGGTGTTCTCTCCTTCGAGGTGAAAGGTCTTTTCTGTAGAGCATTGGAAAATGGGAAAGTTGGGAAGCCACACCTTCCTTTGTTTCAGAGGTGCTGAAGGGGAAGGGAAAATGTGTGTAGGAAGTGGCTTTTTTACCTAGTTTAAAACCCAAATCTAGTGTCTTTCCTCCTGAGCAGGGCATCAGCTTTCCAAACCAGATGTGACTTCTCAGCTGGAACAAGAAGAACTGAGCCACATGACAAAAGAACTCCCAGGATGCATCTCTCCAGGTGAAGTATCGGGCTGCAAGGACTTGTTACATGAGTTTGTCACCTGGGGAAGAAATCACCTGAGATCCCTGGCTCTCTTGGAGAGACCTGCCTATTTGATGTGTGTTCTCTCAGATGCCTCTGCATCACTGATGCCACTCGTCCTCCCGAGGCCTCGCCAGTGTCCTTACCTTGGGGACACATTGTGTGGATTAAATGAGTCACTGGGTTTGTATCACTCATTCATTGCCTGCAACATACTGAATGTTCAGTGTGAGTAGTTATTTCCCTTCTGTCTTCATCTGTACTTAGAATCCATGTTTTACTGTCTTGTTCTTCTTTATTCTCTTTATTCTCTGTCTTTCACGAGTCTTTCTTCTTAGCCATAACCTATACCATAGCTTCCTTTCCCTGACTCACTTAAACGTTTGCTAGCTTTTTAAAGGAAACTAACATTTCTCTTCCTCTGCCTTGTACAGGTGTTTATATAGCCTTAATTTAAAAGCAAGTGGATATGACTTTAGCCTTGTTACTGTTACTAGTAATCTCACATTTTATGTATTCCCTTTCTCTTTCTTAAATTTTTAATCTGCGTCTACTACCTATTCAATCCCCTTCTCCTCTAAACATTTAATGCTTATTAATCTTTATTATCTGGTTTCTAATCCACATCACAACTGAAATTTCTTTTTTAGGTGTTATTACTGACTTTTCTCTGAAAAAATGCATTTTACACATTTACATCTTCTCTACTCAGTGTGAAAGTGTTGATCACTAATTCTTTTTGTACATTTTAAAATTATGAGATAGGCAAATAATTTTTGATCTCTGGATAGTGTATGGCTATGTAATATAATGCAATAAATCAGTGAAGAACATATTGATAGGAAAAAAATAATCTAATGAACATTGCTGTTGCTTTCCAATAAACTTTCTAAAAAACAGCATTCTAGAAGAATCACTGGGTCAAAGAATACACATATTTTTATGACTCTTGCTCCATATTGTGCAACCTTGGATTTATTTTATGTTTTTAATACTAATTTATTATTAATACATATAAAATGATCCCTTAAGCAGCTTTAATTGCCTTTATTACAGGTTTCTGTGGGTTTGATTACTATTGCTATTTGTATTTACTGCTATGTAAATAACTCATTTATTCAACAGATGTTTCTTGAGCACTAGGCCCTGTTCTAGCACCGGGGATACAGCAATAAGCAAAACAGGCAGGTTCCCCACGGAGCTTAAGTCTAGTGAGGGAGACAGTAAATTAATAAAGAAGCCAGGGAGAGAGAAGGGACAGGAAAGAAAGAAGGAAGGGAGGCATGGGTGTTGTAGTCAAAGGGCCGTGTGGGAAAACAAAGCAGAATACGGGAACTAGAAGGGTACTGGGCCGGCAGGGCGGGCCTCTCCTCTAAGGGGACTTGAGCAGCTGTGATGGCCCTGTGGGTACACTCTGGGCACAGGGAACTGCAGGGATTATGTGGCCTTGTTTCAAGGGAAAACTACCACGAGATGTGAAGATTTTCTTAAACTTTGTCTTCAGTCCTTCTGTGAAAAAATTTACTTCTCCTGTCGTATTTTTTAATTTCTGTGCGCCTTCTCATTCTCTGAGTGTTCCTTCTTTTTAAAATAGCTGTCTAATTTAATGTATGCATTAACTTGTCTGTAGGAGGATATTTAAATTATTTTGTGTTTTTTTTGTTTGATTTTGGTATATGTATGCAGCATTTTTTCCCATGTAACCTGGATTATTTTAGTGGGTTTATGTATGCCTTTTTCATTATCTCGTTGTCATTCTGGTGGGTTTTCTGGAGGCAGCAGAGGCAAACACACGTATTCTTGATACTGTTTTCCTCTCCCACTCCTTTACCCGTCTTCAGACTTCTCCATTGGGCTGGACCCTAAAGAGTCTTCCCTCGTTTATGCTGCATTTCACACTCTTTTCCTCATCGCTGAGTGTCTGTCTAGCCCCTCGTATGTGGTTCCTCACATTGTCAGGACTGAGCTTGCTTATGTGTCCCCTGCTAGCACACTGCCTGCCAGAGCAGGTGTTTAATGTAGTTTCTTGAGTGACTATCAAATGACATCAAGTAGAAGTTTTAGAGATCAGATGAAAATATATATTTGAGAGTTATAATCATATGTGTGACAGACATATCAATTTATATTGTTAATTTTCAGGAAGAGTGAATGATAAGGGCCAAGCAGCAAGAAAGGAAGCGTAAAGAAAAGTAACATTTGGCTAGGAGTCAAACATCCTCTAGCAGAGGTGACAGAGTGGTCACAGGAGGAGGAGACAATTTAAGGGGAGCTGGGCCACGGGGAGAGGGAGAAGTGGAGGACGAGTGCCAAGTAAGAGATGAAGGGTGGCCTGCGACTCAGGCGGGGCACTTCCGGTGCTGAGGGAACCGTGCTGTGGGCTGACGAGTAAAACAAGACTGGTAAGTACCGACAATCGTTGCAACAAGGTTAACTTTGAAGGAAAAGGAAGAAAGGGCAAGAAGTGAAGGATGTTAAGAGGTGGAGTGCTTCCAATTTGTTTTTTTACCAAGAAAGAGACTTGAAAGTGTTTACAAAAGAGCAGAGGTATCTGTTAGAAAGGAGAAACGAAAGTCACAGAAGAGTGAGGGAGAGAAGGGAGCCCAGAAAACACGATGATGTGCAAACTTTGAATCTTGTTCTTTCCAGATTTTATTCAGTGTTGCTGCCAGACTGAGCTACCATTTGGTCTTATTATTCTACCCAAAACCATGACAAGAAAGTATCGCTTGAGTGCCACACTCGGCAGTTCCCCAGTCACCATCTGATGTGCTCCTCAGAACAGTCGAAGGCGTAAGTATCATTAGCCCCTTTCACAGTGGGGGAAACGGGCTCAGAGAGGTGAGATGACATGCCAGAATGTGAACGCAGGTTTTTGTTTTGTTTTTTTCTTTGAGTTTAATGCTAATTCCAAAAACATCATTACTTTCTTTCTTTCCTTGCTTTGCTGTGACTTCTTGTTTCCTAGTATGTCTAGTAAAAATAGAACTTCTACATCCTGACCTTTTTAGATGGCTGTTTTCTTTCCCTGTGCTGAAGGTTTCCTGTGTATAGTTGTTGAGTGCTTTGTTAAATTTTGCTGTTTTATCAAAGCTGAGTAGAAAATGTAGATTTAGAAGTGCTGTTCCTAGAAACAGTATTATCGCTAATAAGCTTGTTAATGTTGAAACAGAGATGTAAATTATTAGTAATGTGGAAAGCAGTTGTTACTTTTTAGCCTTTAATCAGTGGTCATTAGACTTAAATAAGTTGTTCAGTTATGAAGGAAACAAAAGTTAAGAACATATATAGAGTATTAGAAATCCCTTATCAAAGATTACGTCTGAAAAATATGGTACAGGAAGAGATTCTATAACATTTAAAGCGCTCCAGGAAGCTATCCTTAACTACCCTTAAATACGGAAACCTGTTGTTTGTGTTTCATAGATGATTTTGTATCGTTCTCAGAGATGTCCTGGATGATTTCCCCCTCCCCCTCCGTGTGTGCGTGTGTGTGCGTGTATGTGTGTGTGTGAGTGTGTGTGTGTGTAAATATACATGTATGTAAATACACATAGAATTTACCTACCTTCATGCTAACATGAGCTCACTAATGTTTAGTGGAGACACAGCTTCACTTCTATTAGTAGGAAAACTGATCTAAAAGCCTATAGTAAATGTTGGAGTGTCCAAGTTTGTTCACCTTGCACAGGGCAGCCCTCCACTACCTCAGAGCTCAGCACTGGCTGATCCTTCTGTCTGGGATGCTCTCCCCTAAATAGGCCTATGACCCCCTCCTTAGCCCCTAAAGTCTTGGCTTCAATGTCACTTTTTCAGTGAGGCTTTTCCTGAAGACTATTTAAAATTACCAACCCTTCCCCTCACCCATCATATTCCATATTTCCATTTTATTACCTTTACTTTTTCCATAAGGTATACCACTTAAATACTAAGTATTTTACTCATTTATTATGCTGACGGCCCTTCTTCCTCTCACTAAAATCTAGGTTACTTTAAGGGCAGAAATGTGTTTTATTCATTGCTATAGCCTTAGCTCCTGGGACAGTGCCTGCTCAGCATACACTTAGTGAATGAAGGATTTATGTTTAGAAGACCCAGCCAGCTGCTGTATGGAGGATGCATGGTAGGGCAGCAAGAGGGTAAGCAGGAAGTCCAGTCAGGTGAGTATTGAAATAGTCTGGTTGAGTGGAAGGTGTAGGCTAAATATTACACAGGAGATGGAAGAAATATGAAAGGGGGAAAAAAAAGAATTCAGCTTGCCCTAGGAAGAGTGGGAACTGCTGCCCAAGCCCCACACCTACCCCAGTACTCTGCAGGCTCTTTCTTGGCTTCTCCTATGGCCAGTCCCAGCCATCTCATGCTTCTCAGACCCCATGGTCCTGGGGACTCTTGCTCATGTCCTGACAAGTACCAGAATGATACCAATCCTGTAAGTTAACTAGGCATTTTAAGACAATATGGGAGTATGGGCTACCACTTAAAAGTCCCGTTTAGGAAGGAAACGAAAGGAAGAGAGAGCTGTATATTGTTTAACACAAAATAATAATGGTAATAATAACAATTAACAATCATTGAACCCTTATGGCCAAGCATAATGCTGCGTGCATTATAAAGTCCTTATTTAATGAGATGGCAAATGGCAGGGCTTTGAAACGTTGTCCAGTCTTGGAAGAGCTGCAGGCTTTGACCATACTGCTCAACTTCTAAACCCACAATATTTCACTAATTCTGAGTAAAGCCACCCTAACTATTTTGTTTTCAGAGAGATATTCATATAATTGGAAAAATAAAATTTCCTCCCCTCTCAGTTGTCTAATTTTATTAGTCATTCTTTTGGAATAGTATTGAATAATAGCAGTAATAATAAACAGCCATTCCTTGTTTCTTTTACGAGTGTGAATTCTTCTAGTGTTTTATTTTTATACTTGGTGCAATGCTAACACGTTTGGTTTTGAATCAGGATTGGTGTTAGATATTACCAAATACTTTTGAAGCATCTATTAGGTTGATCATATGTCATTTTTCCATGATCTATTAATATGGTAGTAATAGATTCTTAATGTGAACATTCTGGAATTCCTGAATCAATCCTTTGTTCAAATTGAATATTTAAGTAATGTTTCAAAAATGGTTTAGGAGTACTGTAATTACTGAATTTTCATATTTAAGAAATGTATTTTGGTTTTCTCTGTACATGTATAGAGTACTGGCCATGTTGAATTCTTAAGTCACATCAGCCAGTTTTTAAAAAGTTTGTAGGTAATGTATTTTGTTCTTAAGCAGCAAGTCTTCAGAATCCACTTTTAAATTAGGTCTCTAAATTCCATGAAGATATAATGAACCTCACTATTAAGCTTTCTGCAAGCACATAATGATGTTTCAACTCAAAGTGACTAATATTTTCCAAAAGAGCAAATATTTTGTTTTTCTCATTTGTTTTTTGAAATGTTATGTATACAGAAGAATGTGTAAAATGTATATGTTTAACAAAAACCTACATATACTTCTAATGTAAATATTATAAATATTAACCAATTTTTGTTTTTATATCACCACTGTGATATTGGTACCATTTAACAGGTGAGAAAACAGGAGCACAGACATGTTAAGTAACCTGCCCAAGGTCACACAGCTAACAGTGGTGGAGCTCACATTTGAGCCATGTCTCAAACTTGTGGCTCCAGAATTATGCTATACTGCTGCTTTTCATAGCTAGTGATAAAGATTAATGAATAAAGAAAGCAAACACCCAGGCATTAGAACCCAGAGTGAGAAACAGAACACTCCTGGTGTCCTCACCGTGTGCTGTGTGCATTCACACTTTTCTTTCTCCCTGGGACACAGCACTGTTCTTGCTTCTGTGGTAACTCCCTTCCCCTGCTTTTCTTTATAGTATTGCATTCCATAAATGAATCTTTAAGCAATATATTTAGTTTTAGTCTGTTTTTAAACTTTATCTAAATGGACTCTTGCTATATATATATTTCTCTGGGACTTTGTTTCAAGTATTTATTCATTCATATTGATATATGTAGCTTTAGTTTGTTAATTTTAAGTAGTCTTCCGTCTGCTATAACAGAATACCATTGTCTAGGTGGCTTAAATATCAGACATTTATTTCTCACAGTTCTAGAAGCTGGAAGTCTGAGATCAGGGTGCCGGTGTGGCTGGCTTCTTGTTGAGGACCCTCTTCCTGGTTCATAGGCATCTATCTTCTTGCTGTGTCTGTACATGCTGGAAAGCAGAGAAGAAGGAAGCTCGCTCATCTCTTAAAAGGGCATTAATCCCATCCCGAGGCCTCCACTTCCTTACCTACTGACCTCCCAAAGGCCCCACCTCCTAATATTATCCCATTGGGGATTTGACTACAACATAGGAACTTTGGGGAGACACAAATATGAAGTCCATAATTCACTGCTGTCAATTATTTCATTGAATATTTGACAATTTAATTATCCATTCTATTATTTGGTATTTGTTTACAATTTTTTGCTGTTGTACAATGCTACTTTTAAAATTATGAATCATGGTGTACCTTTGCCAGTTAGATTTACCTAGGGGTGTGTACCTAGTGGTGGACTTGCTAAACCATCCATTCAGGTTTCCTTTTCTTAAATGCCTGTTGAAGTCTTTTGCCAGTTTTTCTTGTGGGCTTAGTGTTCCTTGGACACCAGGCTCTACTTCTTTGTGGTCATTGTTACAGATAGCTTTGGTTTTTAAAAAAACTTTCTTTATGATGTCTTTTGGTGACTGGAGGTATGTAATTATTCTTCCAATGTTTAGTCTCCCTTTTGGTTTTTATGCTTTTTTCTTATTCTCCTTATTTAAAAATTTTACTTCTTAACCCTCTAGTTTCCAAACTTGGTATTTTCTGCATATCATTTATCTTTGAAGGGAGGCAGTTCTGTTTGGAGTTTATATTTATCTAACTGTGAATGGATCTGTTTGCCCTTCATGTTGTTCCTGGGTGGCACTTCAAGTGTCTCAGAGAACTTTAGTTGGATAGCTGGATACGATGATGGTGAAATGGGGCAAGTAGCCGCCTCTATTTCATGTGTTGCTTGTTATTTTCATACTTGATTGGGTAGGTCCTCTCTGGGGTCACTCGGTGGTGTGTGTGTTTTGGAGGGGGAGCCTGCTTGGCTTTCCACTTTTTATCTTTTTCTATGAAAGCAGGTAAGGTTGGAAGGTGGAGGTCTCCGTTAATGCGTACCCCTTGCTTCACAGTAAAGCCTCCTGCCCTCCAGTCATTGGTCTGTTGGTTCAGTTGATCTCTACTCTGCTGACTTTGATCAAGCTGACAAGCAGATTTTTAGACTATAGTTTGCCTGTCTTCTGCCTCTCTGCCTCCAGGCCATTTTTTCAGCGATAAGAAACAGGATCTGAGAAAATAAAGTCTGAGTGGCTACAGGGTCCTTCCTTCAGCTCCCCTGAAGCAGTTCAGCAGATTCCTTCCTTGCCTCCCCCTGCCACCAGTTCTCATCTTTAAGGAATGGGTATATAGGAAAGGGTAGGGCACTTTAGGACTCTTACCTTTGTGAGAAAGTTACAGCTTGCCTGAAGTGTTGGGGGGAAAGCTTTTAGATTTGTGTTATCCTCCCTTAAGAGTTTGAGTTTCAAGTATGTCCCTTAAGAGTTTGAGTTTCAAGTATGTGCTGGTATTTTATGTCCCAGACAAGTACGTTCCCAAAGGTAGGTTATATACATTATCTGTATCAGATTATTTTTATCCTCATTTTATATCTGTGCAAACTCAGACCTAGAGAAACAACTAGTTAAGATGGTTAAGTGTTAACAGCTAGGGTTTGAGCCCAAGTTTGTGGGTCAGCAGTTGTCACTGTGTCACACTGGGATGTTTTTGAAGATTTAGTATCAGAAATGTAGGTGGAATTGCAAGAGGGAGGAAATGGTGGGTAGGAGTACTAGGTACAACATGGCAGGGCTTTCTGATCTTCCGCTTGTAATCCCACATCTGCCGTATATTTTCCTTTAGTTCCGTCTTCATTATTTGGCCTTGTCCAGTGATCAGTGGTTTTGCTATCTGTCCCTCCTGCATAGGCTCACTCTTTCCTCTGCTTATCGTGCATCTAGTTCCTGGCTCACTGTTCTCTCCCTCCCTTCCAGTTCTCTTCCTAATTGAAGGGAAATCTTTGAAAACTCTCAGATGTGCCCTGTAGTTACTCTGTTTTCATTCCCACCTTATACAGTTTTCAGTCTCCCAGCACAGAAACCAATGTGCATTTTAATTATTTTTTACAGACTGGAAAACAAGACTTGAAACCAAAGAGTCAACTCTAAAGCCAAACATTACTGAAGATTTATCCTAGAGAGTAATAATGGAAAGGGAAGTTCTCTGGCATTCTTCTTTAGGGAAGACCTGGGAACCTGATAATTGGTTAGAGGGGCAACAAAAAAACCAGGATAGACATCTGGGCCAAGTTGCAGTTACCCATAAGGAAACCCTCACTGAGAGAAGGGTATGTGGAGGAAATGAATTTGAAAGATGTTCCAGTCAGGGTTCAATCATTGATACACAACAAAATATTCCTATGGGAAAAAGGCCCTATAATCAGAGTCCACATGGAAAAGATATCAAACAAAATTGTGAATTAATTAAAACTCAAAGAATGTTTGTAGGAAAGAAAATATATGAATGTAATGAATGCAGGAAAGCCTTCAGCCAGAGTTCATCTCTTCTTAAGCACCAGAGGATTCATACTGGGGAAAAACCCTTTAAGTGTAATGTATGTGGGAAGCACTTCATTGAACGCTCCTCCCTTACTGTACATCAAAGAATTCACACTGGAGAAAAGCCCTACAAATGCAATGAATGTGGGAAAACCTTCAGTCAAAGCATGAACCTCACTGTTCATCAAAGAACTCATACTGGAGAGAAACCCTATCAGTGTAAAGTGTGTGGAAAAGCTTTCCGCAAGAATTCATCCCTTATTCAACATGAAAGGATTCATACTGGAGAGAAACCCTACAAATGTAATGAATGTGGGAAAGCTTTTACCCAAAGTATGAACCTCACAGTGCATCAAAGAACTCATACAGGAGAAAAACCCTATGAATGCAATGAATGTGGAAAAGCCTTCAGTCAAAGTATGCATCTTATTGTACATCAGAGAAGTCATACTGGAGAAAAACCTTATGAGTGTAGTGAATGTGGAAAAGCCTTTAGTAAGAGTTCAACTCTTACCCTACATCAACGAAATCACACTGGAGAAAAACCCTACAAATGTAACAGATGTGGGAAATCTTTTAGCCAAAGCACATACCTTATAGAACATCAGAGACTTCATTCTGGAGTAAAACCTTTTGAATGTAATCAGTGTGGAAAAGCTTTCAGTAAGAATTCATCACTTACTCAACATCGGAGAATTCATACTGGAGAGAAACCTTACGAGTGTATCATTTGTGGAAAACATTTCACTGGACGATCATCGCTTACTGTGCATCGAGTTATTCATACTGGGGAGAAACCTTATGAATGCAATGAATGTGGAAAGGCCTTCAGCCAGAGTGCATACCTTATTGAGCATCAAAGAATTCATACTGGTGAGAAACCCTATGAATGTGATCAGTGTGGCAAAGCCTTCATTAAGAATTCATCCCTTATAGTGCATCAGAGAACTCATACAGGAGAGAAACCCTATCAGTGTAATGAATGTGGGAAAGCCTTCAGTCGGAGTACAAACCTTACACGACATCAGAGAACTCATACGTGAGGAAAGTTTTCATTGGGCTCTTTACTATGATTAACTTTCCAGTGATAATCAGATAAGTTATGTAATATAGAAACCTAATAAATGTAGTGATTTTGGAAATTTTTTAAATGAAGTATATACCATATCAGATAATACAGACCACTGTAGAGAAACCATATAAAAGTGGAAAGATCTTGATTGATTCAGAAAGTAAAACTTTATAACAGAAGGTTTAAGTAGCTAATATTCTAAACAATGGGGATTCATGCTGAAGATAAGTTCTGTTGTATCATACTGCAGACTCTCCATTGGGTATCAGAGAATTCACACTGGAGAGAAAATGTGAGAGTGCTTAACTGGACAGCCCCAAGACCCGGTATGTACTCTGATCTGCCGCTGACTTGGACAAGTCACCTACTTTCACCAGGTCACAGTGTCCTTATTTGGTAAATGAGGGATTTTGGATTTAGAAGGTCTCCAGATACATATGCATTCTGAAAAGCTACAAACCTATAACTACAATAAATGGTGGGACATCCTTGATCTTCTACCATGTTATATATGTTATCTAGATGCTCCTATTCCAAAATCTGGTTTCCTTGGATGTTGTGAATTAAAGTTCTCTACCTCTACCAAATCCTATTATCCCTCCATGTCCCTCCCCTTCTCCCTGCATTATTTCCTCCCCTAAACGCATATAGGCTGGTTGCTACCAGGTGATGGAATAATTGTACAAATCTTAATGCAATAGCATGATGTTTTGAGTTCTCAGTTAACAGTCATTAAATTGTTAAGCTAATTTTTAGAAAATAATATAAGTTATATATAGTTTTAAAAAACATAAGCTTCAAATACATATCTTTGTATCATCCTCTGTCAAAGTGGAAATGAGAATAGGCTAAACACTAATATATATGAACATCTGACAGACTAACAAAATCTTTGTAACTCAAAACATATTCAAAACAATCATGAGACTTTATACATCTAGTTATGATCGTAGTTAAGTCAACTTCATTTATTTCACATACATACATTTAACAAGTGCTAAATATATGCTAGACATGATTACAAAATCAACAAGAGTAATATATTATTGTTTCCCGAAGTTTAAACTGAGAAATTGGTAGGGATGGGAGAGGAAAAGAATTCAAGCAATAACAAGACCAAATCTAGATAACATAACTGATTAAATGTAGGCACTTAAATTTCTTATTTGGATGATAGGGGTACCATAATGAAAAACATAATGTTTACCAATTTTGTAGAGCAATGACAAGTTCAGTCTAGGGGGCACTTTGATGAGTCTGTGGATATCCAAGTAAAGATTCCTGATAGGCAGTAGAATAAGTAGAATGGCAGTGATAGAGGGTGTTTTGGGAGTATAGTAGTTCCCCCCCCCCTTATCTGTGGTTTTGCTTTCTGTGGTTTCAGTTACCCAATGGGTCCAAAAATATTAAATGGCAAATTCCAATAAACAAGTCATGTTTTAAATTGTGCATCATTCTGAGTAGTGTGATGAAATTTTGCGCCATCCCACTATGTCATCGCCTCACTTTGTCTCATCACACAGGCATTGTATCATGTCACAGCAACACAAGAAGAGTGAAATACAATATATTTTGAGAGACCATATTCACATAACTTATAGTGTTATAATTGTTCTATTTTATTATTACTGACAATATTACTGTACCTGATTTATAAACTAAACTTTATCATAAGTATGTATATGTACTTATAGGATATATATAGGGGTCACTACTATCCATGGTTTCAGGCACCCACTGGGGATTTTGTAATGAATCCCTCTATAAGTAGGGACTACTGTACTGTCACTGAATGGGTGAGTGGAATCAGTAGAAGCTAAGGGGAAGGGACAGCCAAAAGAAACGTGAACAAGAGAAAGAAAAGTCAGAAGGTAGCACAGAAGTAAAAGAGTTTTAGTGTAGGGATAGCAATAGTTAATATTTTCAAATGCTCCTGAGGGTTAAAGTAAGGTCAAAATAGAAATATGGTCTTTGGTTTTTGTTACTGATAATCTCTAAAATTTTAGTTGGTTGAAGAGTGAGTTAAAGGTTGAAAGGGACTTAGTAGCTTAACTGGGAAAGAAGAGTTTAGAAAGATAACTAGAGGGAGATTGGAGTTGAGAGAGGATGTATAGATGAGAAGAGCTTTTGGCTACAAATACTAGAAATCCCCGTTAAAATGGCTTACAAGCAGAGAGGAGTTTATTTCCTCACCTAACAAATTTGGAGGTGATTGACTTTGGTTCAGAGACAAAATAATTCAATGCCTGAGTTTCATCGCTTTTCCATCATGGTCACATGATGGCAGCCATAGCTTTGGGTCAAATATCTGCATTCAATGCAAGGGAGTGGATAGCACAAGCAACCTTTTGCCTTTTACTAGAAAAGGTTTTCCCAGAAGCCCCTCAGCAGACTTCTGATAACATCTCACTGACCACAGCAGTATTACCTGGGAACTAGCAGCAAAGGAGGCTGAGAAAATAAGTATTTAGCTTTTGCAGCCTCCATAGTGGAGGTAGGTAAAGAAAAGGTGGTTTGAGAAAGGCATTGGTTTTAGCCAGCCAACAACCTACCGAGAATGTGTTTGCATGATTTAATGTAGAAGAATTTTGCATGTTTATCACCTAAAAGAGGCATGGAGAGTCTAAAGGTGCAGAAAGGAGTGGGTGTGAAGCTCAAAGTGGGAAAATAAGATTTGGAGCACAGGTAGAGACCTTAGGAATCTTTTTCACCAGGAAAAAGGAAGCTTTCCCCTGGGACAGCTGGTTATCAATGATGGGTGCAGTGCAGGATCCCTAGGGACTCTCAGTGTTTGGACCTTGGACAGTTCAGTTTCTTTGGGCTATAGGACTTCTAAATTTTAATTCATGGAATTCGAACATCAAAGATAAAGGAGAAATGAAACACTGAATTAACTATAGCTCTCCATTACACCCAGTTTCCTCCTTTCCCTTCACCTATTTCTTTTTCTTGTTCCTCACCCCATCTCAAGAGATAGAAATGGAGGGGGGGAAAGGAGGCAGAAGAAATGGGTAGAAAATAGGTGAAAATGATAAAGACAGCAGCAAAATGAAGGCCCAAAAGCAAGGCACAGGACAAGGAGGAAGGAAGAATGAAGTTACTACAGCCTGTGATGGATGCAATAACTCAAAATTGGTAAAATATTAACTCACAGAGGGAGCACCAGGAGAAATAGGTCCGATAAATGGAGGTTTCAGTACTTTTTCAGGAGATTTGGAGCCTTAGGCACTTGTCAGTTCTCAGCCATCCTAGGTAACAACTAAGGAGGACAATCTTTGCACCCTTCATCTATCAACAGGTGCAGGACTCCTGGTTCCACATATTAGACATGAGACCTTGGGCAAGGCACTTAACATACTGATGCCTCAGCTTTCTCATTTGTTAATAGTATAAACCTCATAGCTTTGGATTACATGAGATGAATAACGAAGAGCTTATAAAAGTTCCCAACATGTAGTTAGTGCTCGATGGATATTATGTTATCGCCTTCATGTAACTGAAAACAGTAATATCCAAACTCCTTAGCATGGCATCCAAAACCCTTAATTATATTAGAATGACTAGGCTCTCAAAGCAGATAACTTCCAGGAAGGTTCTATAACTGGGAGTCTGTCCCTCCCCAGGAATGCTGTAATAGCCCCTTACCGGTTCCTCTATTTCCTGTAGGCCCACCGTAGTCTGTTCCCCCACAGAGGACAAGTGATTCTGTCCAAGTGCTCAGCCATGTCAATATTTTGCTCAAACCCCTTCAATGAATTCCTATCACACACAGATTAAGTCCAGAGTTCCTACAATGGCCTTCTGGTTACCCTATGACCTTTATCTCCCAGTCTCTCTTGTTCATCATGCTCTCTCCAGCCATATTGGTCCTGCTAAGCCTGGAACTCACCAGGCACTTCTTTGGACGGCGGCGTTCCCTTCCCACCTCCTTAGGCAGCTCTTCCCCACATACATGGTTTCCTCCCTCACTGTATTCCAATCTCTGCTCAAATGTTATCTCCTCAAATTGAATTTCCCAAAATACTACCTAAATTAAACTCCATTCCAGCCCCAAGAACAGTGCCTGACACTTAAGTGCTCCAAAAGTGTCTACAGAGTGAAACCTTCAATAAAACTCAAAGCAATGCTGCAGTCACATAAAGTCACTGCTTCCTTCCATTTCCTGACAAATCTCAGGTCATATTCTTGGATTTTTTTCACCATGGACAAAGTTACAACCCTCTCACCTTTCCTTCCTGAGCTCCATGAAAATTGGTATTCAGAAGCAACTAAATATCTCAAGTTGGGTGCTTCTGTACAGCGCCTCATCCTTGCCCGCCCCCTGAAAATACTATTGAGAAAAACAAATACTACCTTCTCTAAATGCCACCCAGTTGGCAATGTCCAAGAGAACTTCCTTGGCATCCAGGCTCCTTCCTCCCATAAGTCGCTGGGAACCAAGTCTGTTCTACCTGCTCGACGTTTCTCAGGTGCCCTCCAGGCCACCGCCCAGGTTCCAGCCACCACCCGCCGTCCTGAACTGCCGCGGCAGCCTCTTCACTCGTCTGCCTACCTTCAGCCGGACACCCCTGTCTTCCCTGCCCTGCACCCCACTTATCGCCATACCACCCCTGGCCCGACCACCGGCCACACTGTTAGTATTGTTTGCGTCCCGGGGCGGAGGCGCAGCCTCGCCGCCTTTTCACATCCTTTCGGCGCGGTCCTTCGTCTGGAACGCTCCTTTTCTGCTTGTCGCCTCCTACTCCGTCCTCGGGGACCGTTCCGGATCTGCTCTCCTCACCGGATCAGGAGCCACTCACCACCGCCAACTTTTCGCTAGTCTATCTTCTTGGTCGTTTTTTCAACGCAGAAACCGAGTCCCAACGTGACCATAACGGAACCAAAGCCGCACCTGCGAGTTAGCGCATGGGACGTTAGCTGCATGATGGAACGGCAACACCACGCCGAGGCCCCTGGGAAATGTAGTTTCAGTACGGAAAGCCTCTAGGGGCGGGGTTTGAGGGACTGTGCACTGTCTGCGCGGGCGCACAACATCACCCGCGGCGGGTGAGGGAGCTCGCCGCCGATTTGCCATCTGGAAGTAGAAGTGCTGCTGCCTAGAAACTTGCGAGGATTCGGCTCAGCGGTTCCCAGGGCAACGCGCAATCGCAGTTCAGACCCGGGCTGCTGACTCCAGCTCTTTGTGTCCTGCCGGCGATGTGGCGGTTGCGGTCTGTTGCCGCCGGCAGGGGCTCCTCAAAGGGTAACCCAGTAGTGACCGGGCACGGTAGCCAGAACCTCATCGGGAGAGCGGGAGCGGCCATGGCTGGTCGCGCCCGGGGAGGACGGAGGTGAAAGCCGAGCAGGTCCGGGTCGTGCTCCAGTCTAACTTTCCGGGATGTATGGCTAAGGTTTGAGTCCCAAGAGAAAAAGGGAGGACGACCAGGTGTGCGCTCTTGGGTTTAGGGTCCGAATCTGTGAGTGAGGGTGGAGGATGTTGCGGCTAGGGTTTCTGGCGTGTATCTTGGAGACGACCACGGGAAGCCCGTTTATGCTCAGGGATAGATGCTCCCGGTGGGGTTTGGAGCCCTGTATGCCCAACCCTCCGAGGCGGGTAGCGCGGGGCAGTCCCCCGCGGCATCTCCCCTGTGGACCCAGCAGAGCAGAGGGCGGGAGGGTAGCCTGAGTTGTGTCAAGAAGATTCCTAAATCCCCTCTGTCTCCCCGCCTCCCACACATAAATACATTGCTGCCCACCTTTGACTCCAGGCCACCTAAACTGGGCCTCAGAGGAGAGGCCTGGGGCCGGAGAAGGGCTTGGCTTGAGGGATTTCGACAATGAAGATCCAGCCTTCCTAGCTTCCTTTTTTTTTTTTTTCCCAAGATTTTATTTGGGAATTGGGGAAGGGGAACAGCCAAGTTGTTGTCCTTCAATCTTAGTTGTGGAGGGCGCAGCTAGCTCAGCTCCAAGTCCAGTCGCCATCCAACCGCCTGTCGGCAGCTCAAGGCCACGCAGCTGAAGGTGCCCTGTTCAATCTTAGTTGCCATGGGCATAGCCCACCATCCCATGCGGGGGTCCCACCGGCAACCTTGTTGTTAGGAGCACGTGCTCTCATCAGCTGAGCCATCCGTTGGCAGTTTGGTGGCAGCTCAGCTCAGGCGCAGTTCACTGACCCATGTGGGAATCGAACCGGTGACCCTGTTGCTCAGAGCTCATGCTCTTAACCAACTGAGTCACTCATTCGGCCCCTTAGCTTCCTTTTTGAGGAGAAAGAAGTGACCCTCCTTCTCCACCTCTACTCCCCTCCCAGCATTAGGCAGCTGTCCTGTGAGGACACACTTCTTTCGAGACCTCTCAGTGTGACTTAAGGGCAAAATCTGGAGTGTGGGTACAAAGCGTGAGAACCGGGGCTGGCGGGTGCTTTCTGAAAGAAGTCAGTGTATTGAAGATATGGAAGAGAAAATGTGGAGGATTCGAGTCAGATGCTAGGGGAAAGATGTGTGGTGGGGGAGTCCCTGTCAGTGGAGGCCTGCAGAAACACTGTCAGGAGGAGGAGAGAGAATTGGGAGTAAAGAGGGACTAAGAATTCAGGGCTGGGCGCGTTGGAGGACTCCCAGGATGTGAGTGCTCATAGCCTCACTCTGGACTGCTGTGTGGTGTCTTTTGAACTAGTCCTTTTCTCATAACAGGTGTATAGAAGTTTCCAGCCTCAGAAGTCCTTGCTCCAAGTCCAAGCTGACTTGTTCCTAAAAGTTCTCATCAGAGAAGAAGGAATGGCTGTCAGGTGCCTGCCAAGCATGGTCCAGGTGAGTGAGGACTTACTGTGGGGTTCCCCTGCCCCCGCCTGCACCCCCACTAAATTACCTTAGAAGATTTGAATGTAGAGGTTTGGAGCATGTGGGCATGTTTCTTCTCCCTGACCAGGAGCTTTTCTCCCAATCCAGTCTCACTCAGAGGTCTGGCCCAGTCTCTCCTTTCTCTCCCCACACTCCATGCTGGGCTGATCCTAGTGAGTGTGGAGCTAAGGAACTTGTTAAAGGTCACGTAAGTGACAACTGGAACTGGAACCCAAGTGATTGGGAATGGAAACCTGCAGTCTTCCCACTAGCAAGTAAGATTAGAGTCTAAGAGGTAAAGATGGTTCCTGAGGTAGGAGCTAGATGAAGAGAGAGGTTGGAGCACTTTCCTGGGGAGGTGGGATTTACTGGACTCTCTTTTTTTTTTTTTCTTTTTATAATGACATTTGACTTTTTACTTGAGAGGATTATTGCATACCAAGAAATCATTCAAAAGACATGTTACATATATACAATGGAATATTACTCAGCCATAAAAAGATGAAATCTTAACCATTTATGACAACATGAATGGACCTAGAGGCTATTATGCTAAATGAAATAAGTCAGACAAAGACAAATACCATATGATTTCACTTATATGTGGAATCTAAATATATATATATATATATATATAAATGAACAAACAAAACAGAAATACACTCACAGTACAGAGAACAAACTGATGGTTGCCAGATGGGAGGGTAGTTGGCACAGGGTGAAAAAAGGGGAAGGAATTAAGAGGTACAAATTGGTAGTTAGAACATAGTCACAAGATGTAAAGTACAGCATAGAGAATATAGTCAGTAATATTGTAATAACTGTGTATGGTGCCAGGTGGGTACTAGACTAGTCAGGGAGTCACTTCATAAGGTATATAAATGTCTGACCACTGCTGCACACCTGAAACTAATGTACTATTGTATATCAACTGTAATTGGAAAATTAAATTTAAATTTCAGTAAATTACTGAAAAGCTTTGAGCAGTGCCAGCCTCTCTAGATTAAGGGCACTTTGAAGGAGACAGCATTTATTTGAGCGTATAAATTTTTGGTTTTTTTAAGATTTTTATTCGGGTATTGGGGGGATGGGAACAGTGCTGGGCAATTGGGGGAAGGAGAACAGACAAGTTGCTGTCGTTTTCTTCAGTCTAGTTGTGGAGGACGTTGCTTCACTGGCCCAAGTTGGCACCACCATTGTGCTCTTCCCGGGTGAGGCAGATCAGTCGCCGGCTTCTGGACGGCCGCTCACTGCAGCTGCTGGCCGCTCACGCTGGCTGCTGGCCGCTCACGCTGGCTGCTGGCTACATACGGTAGCCCATGGCAACCCACTGCCACAGGGGCTGCAGCCTACGCCGTTGCCGTCGCTGGGGACTCAACGGCAGCCCAGCTCCAGGTTGAGCTGTTGTTCAGCATCTTAGCTGTAGAGGGCAGTGTCACTGGCCCTCATATGTGGGATCCGAACCGGGGCCCTCTGGCGTCCCAAGCCAGTTCTTAACCATTGCGCCACTCGGCCGGTCCTTGAGCGTATAAATTTTGATGATTTGCTAAAATTGTTCTAATTCCTTTACACTTAAGCCGGTCCGGGGCAGGAATCATTGAAAGGGATGAGCAGCCGGCTGAAGGTGCTGTGTTGAACCCAGTCACAGCTTACCAGCTACTCACCCTCCTTTTCCCGCTTTCTGACTTGTCCTTTCGGATCCATCTCAGGCACTACTTTTTCTGTGAAACTGGTCTCCACACGGTGCCAGTCCATTGTGATATTTCTCTTCCCTGACCTTTTCCTCAAATTCATTGTTAGTGTCATACAATTAATCTTGTGTTTACAAGCTGCCTTAATTTGGTTGCCATGAATGGCCTATATTAGGTATGTAAAATGTGCCTTGTGAAAGGGCAGCCACTGGTCAACAGGGATGGGCTTGCTGTTACAGGAGTCAGTGACCTTCAAGGATGTGGCTGTGGTCTTCACCCAGGATGAGTGGGCACAGATGAGCCCTGCACAGAAGGCCCTGTACAGGGAGGTGATGCTAGAGAACTACAGCAACCTGGTCTCGCTGGGTAAGTGGCGAGCCTTCGAAGGCTCGGCTTCACGTTTGGACATCTCCCTGCGCCCCTGAAACTGGTTGCACAGAGAAGATTGGGCTGGGCACACTGACTGAGAGTGTGATTTTCAGGCTCTGACATGCCTATCCTTGGTGTCCCAAGCACAGGACTCTTTGGGGGCCTAAGGTGAGTAAGGGTCAAATCCTTCCCCCCTCACCAGGGAGAAGGACATGGGAACAGGTTGTCTGTCAGGCCCGGGCCATCTTTTGTCCTCTGGGAACTTGTCTCTCCCCTGGCCTTCCTATGAAGTCGCCTTTTCCAGGAAGTTCCAAGGACCAGATCTCATCCTTGCAATGATTTTATCTCTAGTATGAATAGATGTGGTCCATTTTTTTCCCCTCAAAAACAGGACTCTTAGGACCCAAACCAGATATGGTTGCCCACTTGGGAAAAAAGGAAGAATGGATGCTGGAGGATGCTTCCGGAGGCTTCTGTCTTGGTAAGAATTCTGCATGTGGGAGGCGTCGGGAGAAACTCAGCAAATGCACCAGGCCTGTGGACTGGGAAATGTGCGTCTTTTCCCTTTTGTCCACCTTAACACCTTGTTGCCACATTTGTCCCTGTGTGCATGTGGCACTCCTTTCTTATGGCGATTTTGCCTGCCTGGACCCTCCATGATTTTCTTCTCTCCTGATTTGACATTGATTAGTAGTCTCCGATGTAGAAAATACCTCAAATGTTATCTGGGCAGCTCTCCCACCATACTTGCATGTCCCATTGTCCTGTTCAGCACCTGACAATGCAGTCTGCTCACACCTCTCCAGTGAGGAGTTGCCACACTGGGTCACATAGAGTAGGGTAGCTCCTGGTCCTATGGGCCAGTTACCGTACCTAGTGAGGCCACTCTTCCAGCTGAATGCTGCACATTTCTTTACCCTCTTCCTGTTTGTTCAGACACATGTGCATACCTTCAGCCAGCACATAATTATTCTCCAGTGTCCACGGCACCCACTGGGCTGTATGCTCCAGGAGAGTGCGGCCAGGCCTGTGGCATATGCTGCTGTGCCGCTCACACCTGGCACAGTGCTCAGCACCTGCTGAGGGGCATAGACTGGCTGCTTGGGGATACAGAGCACATGACAGTTTAGTGGCTGTTAGTTGTCTTGAGCCCATTGGACCTGATAGCTTAAGAGCAGGAGCAGGGGTGCCTCTCCTACTCCCCAATGTTCTAGAGAGCGTATTGCCTTATCTAAGACATTACAACAGTTCACTTTCACTACAGCATATGCAGGCTATAAAAAAGTTAAATATTTTAAAAACATCTTTTGTTATTTATTGAATTTGCACAGAGAAGTAGGCAGGAATTTATATACGACAGTAAATAACTATATACCTGGAATGTCTAGGACCCAATCTGTTATGGAATTTAAATTGTCTTAACTCCAAACACAGTTATCAAAAAACATCTTGTAACTTACCCAAGAGCATTCTGAATTTGTATGTTCTATTATAACCAAACTAAGGTGTTTTAATATTTTATTCTGTATTATACAAGCAGTGCTATAACAAAAAGGGAATTAAAAGAAATTCATGTGCTGTCCTTGCACTCTGGCATCATAACCTAATTCATTCTTCCATTTATTTGTCATTAACACTAGTTCTTTATTGCATTTGTGGGGGGAGATGAAGATGAAGAAGGACTTTGATGCCTGCGAGGGACTTTATAGTCACTGTGGTTATGGGTTAGTCCTTCCCAAGGGCCTTTCACAACCCTCGGTTCCAGGACCCCTTATTTCTGCGTTGCCTGGACACCCCAAACTTCGAGCCAATTCATGAAGGATGATTAGTGGTTAGCCGGCCAAACATGGAAAGAAGTCTCATTTTATATCTCCCAGTAAAGATTTATAGCTGTTCCCTCCTTTCCCAAGATGGTGATTTTTATTGTTGAATAGTACCATCCTGTCTTTTGTTCGTTAACTGGAAATTGCTACTATAAAGAAACAGTAGTCATTTCCAAATAATTATCCCCCTCTTGTCTTTCTCTCTTATTAAAATATTCATTGGATTCATTTTTAGTTTTTGTTTTGTCTTATTTCTGTTTCATTTCTTAATGACTGGCTAGGACTTGAGAAACCATATAGAACAATGGTAATAGGTTTTATATCTGATTTTTAAGGGACTGGATCTAGACCTTTCCCAGTGTTGCACCAATTACTCTTGGTTTAGAATAGACACTTATTTTTCAACAAAATGAGAGAAAGTCCTTCTGATAGATAGCTTTCCTTCTTAATTTTTCTCTCTGGGCCATGAGCGTAGAAGCTCGAGAAAGCCAGCTGAATGCCTGTGGCTGGGCACCATGCTGGGCGATTTCCCGGGATTTGTGTTAGCTGCCCGTCTAATAATTACAACCTGAGGCAAGTATGATTAACCCCACTTCACAGAAAACAGAGCCTCAGAGTGGTTAATTAATTTGGATGATTTAATGTTACTATTATGTGGCAAGTCAGGATTAGGGTGAAGCTGCATGAAACCCATCTGATCCTCAAACCATGTCATTTTTCCCTCCTCCAAAATAGCTTGAATTACATAAATTGTTTAGTCAGTAAACCTAAAGAAAACTACTTGAACCCTTGATTTAAGCTGTAGCTTTTTACATTTCTTATTTATTAATCTGTTTAGGTTTCTTTTTGTGTGTCAATTGTACATTTTACCCTTTAGCTTTAGATTAATCTGTTTTGAGCTATAAAATATTAATTTACAATTGTGCATGGTGTATACCTATAATTTTAACATTTTTATACTATTTCCAATTTTATATGTACATTTTTCATCTCTTAAGTTTGTTCGGAATTTTTTTTTTTTTTTTTTAGAGAACCAGGTCTTATTTATTTCTCTGACATGGAATTTTATTTCTACACCTGGCATTACCATTTCCAATTTTTCCTTAAATGTATTTTGAATACTGTACATTCTAGATACAAAAGAGGATATGTAATATTTATGAACAGTTTGAAGAATAAAGAAACAACACCCAGGCTCCACTGTCCATCTTAAGGAACAGGACTGAGCAGCACAGGAAGTCCTCTGTCACCCCTGTCTTTACCTACCGGGGCTGCCAGCTTGATTCTGCGCAGTTCGGTGCTGCTCTCCCTGCGCTGACCGCATGTACCCAGAGCTCTGAGCAAATTTGGTGCTGTAAAGCTTGAGATATATATCTTGTACTGTAGATACCTTTTCACACCTTCCGCTTTTAAATTCTTGTTGTGATGTATATATAGCTCTAGATCTTTTTTAGCTGCACTTTGAGATTCCTTCAATGACTGTCCCTTAATTTATCCTTTTTCATGCGGATAGACCTGTTTCCGGACTTTTTGCTGTGTTGAATAATGCTGACCTGAATATCATTGTACGTACTTCCTTGTATGTACTTCCTTTTATACACATGGGCCTTGTTTGTGACGTTCTTTAGTGTGTTCATAGATGCAGAAATCCTGGGTTTAAGGACACATGCTTTTTCAGCTCTACTACATTTTCCCAGGTTGCTGATTAAATTAGTTTCAAATTATACTAAAAGTTGATGTTAAGTTCTTGTTACCTTACATTCTTGAAAAGTTTGGAACTTTCAGACTTTTAAAACTTCTCCCTTGCCCCATTCCTAAAATAAGGTATCTCATTGTGGTTTTAATTTGCATTTCCTTGTTTACTGGTAAAGTTGAACATCTTTTTATGTGTTGATTATTTGTGTCCTGTAACTTACATATTCATATTCTTTGCCCATTTTTCTATTATAGTTATCTTCTTATTATTCATTTCTAGGAGTTCTATACATATCCGGGAACTTAATACTTTATCAGGCAATATGTATTTTGGCCTATAGCTTATCTTTTTCTTTACTAACAGAAATTCCTAATTAATGAACTAAAATAGATCAGCCTTTATCTTTATGATCTTTATTTTAGTGCTTTCTGTGTCCTGTTTAAATAAGCCTTTCTGGCCTCAGAGCCACGAAGGAAGCACTTGGTCTCGTTTGCTCTTATGTCCCCAGCACACCAGGCCCCAGTATGTAGTCGTTGAATGAAAACATGAATTTCTAATATTAACTTTTGGTTTTCTTTCTGTATAAGTCTTATCAGAGGTTTTCTTTTTTTAACACACTTCTAATGAACAAATGTTTGACTTAGCCGATCCTTTCTGTTTTATCTTGATCTATTTCATTAGTTTTTGCTCTTCATTATTTCTTTCCTTTGAGATTTTGGAGCTTATTCTGTCCTTTTTTTTTACTTTTACAATTAAATTTTATCAAAGTAATACATGCATTTAATTTCAGGAAACTACAATGTTTGTTATGAAAGACAGTGTCCCCGTCTCTCCCCTATTCTCTGTTCTCCCCTCTTTAGAAGTAAGCACTTGCTCTTCTTTTAGCTGATTATTTGGTCTGTCTGCTTCCATGTCTCTAAGGAACATGTTTGTATTGTTACCTCCGGACTTCTCAGTTTTAGACATTATTTATCTGAATTACTTCTATAAAAAGTGAGGATTAAACTCACTGCCCCAACCAGTCATCTTACTGCCCCAACCAGTCATCTTACTGCCCCTTCCACTTCCTGTCTTCCCTGTAGAGTCGTAGGGTCATTGTGCTCAGAGCAATAATCAGTGTTTACATCCATAGTCACTGTTCACAACGGATCCACGTGGTAAATCATGACAACTTTGGCTTTCCTAAGCAATCTGTTCCCAGTGTTCATTGGTTCTATACTTAGTTTAATTTATTTTAATCTCAGCCCTTCTCCAGTTGTCTGCATCTGCTCTCAAGACTCATGTCGTCAGGCATTGTGATAGTTTCATTTTCTGGAAAAGCCTCTTCTGGAGCGTCTGACCGTTCCATTCAAGAGCAGCTGGCACCCAGCTGTCATCCTCCTGTGAAGTGCCTCTCTCCTGGTCGCATCTTCTTGCTTGGTTTACTCTCTTCTTTTGGTGGCATACATCTTCCAGTAGCTTCCTAAGAAAGGATGCCTGGGAGTATGTTTTTTGTAGCCTAGCATTCTCTACAAATGTCTTTTTTCTGCCCTGACACTTTCAGGGTAGTTTGAGTAGATCGAATTCAGCACTGGAAATCTTTTTCCTTTAGAATTTTCAAGACGTTGCTCCATTGTTTTCTGGACCTCAGTCTGCTCTTGAGAAATACAAAGTCATTCTGATTCTTCATCAGTTGTGACCTGTTTTCCTCTCCGAAAACTTGCAGGGGCTCCTTTACTCCCATGTTCTGACGTCTCTGAGTGATCTACCCTGGTGTGGCTCTGTTTGGTGACCATTTCCATCTGAAATTTTTGACCTTTAGATCTTCAATTATAGTAGAAGACATTTCCTTCTATTGTTTAATTTCCACCTTAAGTTTTCTCTTATGTTCTCTTTATGGAACATTTGATACCTCCTGTAATGGTCTTTAATTTTCTTTTTATTAAAATTTCCACCTTTGTTTTTTTGTTCTACTTTTTGACA